TCTGTCTTGAAACAGTCAGGAATTATATGCTTGATAGACTTCAGTTCAAGCGCCCTCTCGCAGCAAATCAATTGCCCCAGAAGAAAATGGCCGACATGCTGACAGAAATTGCCATTGGCCTCCAGGCATGCCTCCAAGTCGGCAGACTCAAGGATGAGGGCAAGTACGTTGCCAGCATTCACAAACTCTGATTTCCAGTTGATGTTCTTGGCATCACAAAAATTGTTTGCATCGGCGCAGGGCAGCCCCCGAGATGATTTCCCTGGTGAAGAGGAATTCCTGTGGCAAGAGCCTGGAGATTGCTCGCACAGCCAGGGACATGCTTGGCGCCAATGGTGTCGCCGATGAATACCACATCATCCGACATGTCATGAATCTCGAGGCTGTTAACACTTATGAAGGTATCATATTCTTACCTTTTTCAGAAGTTTGCTTTCATGCTATCCTTCAAGTTGGAAGCTGTGTGTATGAATATTTTGAAACTTCTACATATCTTGAGTACAAAAAATTATACTGTTGCCCCTACTGAGGACTAATTTTTTGGTGAGGTAGAACTAACAAATGGTTAGGCAGCAATGACTAAAATGAGTACTGAAAATTCCTGACTTGAGATTAGGCCATACCACTGTCTTCTAGCTGAAGAGTCAGATGGATAATAAGCTGTGGTCCTTGCCAAGCAGTTTGTTTTGCTCCAATGGAAGTAGAGAATCTCTGAATCAGGCCTACTCATCTACCATAAAGGGCCAAAAGATGAGAACAGATCCATTTTAAAATGTGGAAAATTAATTATAAAAGTCATATCAGTTCTGTATTTTTTTTCCTCAGATTCTGCATTATTTTCAGCAACTGTATTTGTTTGTGATTACCCCAGGAAAGAGGTCAATGTATCATTTTTCCATTTCCCTCAGGTACGCACGACATCCACGCCCTGATCCTCGGCCGAGCCATCACGGGGATTCAAGCGTTTACTTCCTGAAAACCAGTGTTATAACAGCTCATATGTGATGCAGATCAAGTTTTATTTCAAACGCCATAATAGAGTGTTCTGTTTCTGTGATGATGCGTTGAACCAAACGTGCAATAAAAACCCAAACGACGTGAAACGTTTCAAGCAGAGCAGCAGCGGGTCCAGCGGAGAGCCATGTGCCCCGAGTGGCTCAACCCGTCGAACGAAGCCTCCCAATTCCCCAGCTTCTCGGGGACGAAGTCGTCCTTGCCGACACCCGGGACCAGGATGCTGGTCTGGAACGAGGAACCGGATGCCGCCTGGGCGTACTCGTCCTGGATCCAACGAGAAAGCACCCTGCCTCTGTCATTTGCAATGACAATTATGGCATCTGTAATTCTCCATACAGATGTAATTCTTGAGATTTCACCCAAGACTCTTCAGTTGTTTCTGGTTGTGGAAGCATTTGATCTGAAATGGTTCTACCAAGAACTTGATCATATTCTGCCCTGTTGAGAGTCTAAATGAGTGCATGGAATGTACTAGTAGATTTGAAAATAAACCTGATGAAATCATGAATCCTTCCCTTCCTAAGAGCTTTCTCAAACTCCTCTGAGATTCATCGTGCTCGAATATCCTGGAACATCATCATGCCAAAAACCCTCACAGATGAAACCGGGGAGAAGGTAAGCCCTCCATCGACCGAGTACACCACGGAATGCTCCTGCTCGTCCAGGAAGTACGTCCGCCCCGTCGCCGCGTCCCACCCGGTCACCGCGTGGACGTGCAGCGGGAGGATCCGCCAGGGGGAGGCCCCGCCGGGCTGGGAGACGTAGCAGAGCACGGCGTCTCTGCGAAAATTCGCCAAAATTGCGATTGTGCATTTATTGTGCAAATTTGCGGGAGTTGGGACTCACTCCGTCGGTTCGGTGTCGCAGACGAATGCAATGTCCTGGTGCTCGTCGACTACAAAGTGACGGTTCCCCGCAACTAAATCATTCATTTAAATCATTTCTGTAACTTCTTTCTTGAGTGCAAATATTTCCTAGCAAAATTCGCAACTCCACCTTCCACGTTCGTGACCCTCGTGTCCGGGTTGTACGAGCAGACCGACAGCTCCGCGGGCAGCAGGATGTTCGCCACCTTGCACCCGTAGAAGTCCGCCGTCATCCCGAACGCCAGCTTGTCGTTCCCCGTCGCCTCCGTCTCCAGGATCACGACCCGAACGAACCGCGTCTTCAACGGGTACGTGAGGTTCCGGGAATGCGGGTACGTCTCGCTTGCTGACACAGTCACTATCTAAAGCAAAAAAATTTAATAAATAAAAATTCAATTTTTAATTTAAAATAATTTCATCATCATAAAAATTGGGTACGATGCATGTGGAAGCAGTTTACTTATTATATGGTAAATTGTAAGTGTAATTGTATTTCCGTTTCATTGAGCCTCCTCGGGTGTGGAATGTTGTTCTGACGATGTTTGTAACGACTGGTGATGGTATGCTGATGATGATGGACTAGATTCCACGGTATCTGCAATGCCGTCTGTGTGCAATGGGGAATTGAAAAGAGAACAATTTTTTTTAATGCATATCTTATGAAAAGAAAACGGAAAATGAAATTATTCCATGTTTTTACATTATATATTTAACTTTTATTTTCATGTAATTTATATTTCATTTTAAAATGCATATTATGTGACATTATATTTTTTTCCCATGCAAGTAATACCTTATTTAATCATATTTTTATTTTACACAATTCATTTTTTTATTGTTATTATTTCAATATTATTTATTTTGTTTAACACGAAAATCCATAAAATACATCCACTCACCCCTTCCTCCGTCGGAGTCCAGGACTGCCCGTTGATGCTGGCGAGGAGTTGGTACCGGAGCACCTTGCGATACCCGACCGGCACGTCTAGGATCACCTGGGTCACCCTGGCCAGCGCCCCGAAGTCCACCTGGAGCCAATGCCGGTATGGCCCGACGCGCAGCTCCGGGATCCAGGCTGGGGAATTCGGTGACGCCCGAGACACGAAATAATCACAAGTACTAAAAAATTGTAAATTAAAAACGAAAAAATAATATAATGGGTGACACGCAGCAATCGAGGAATCGGATTAGTTTAAAGACGAGACGTACAAGTTTTTTTTCACTAAAACATGTGAGAATATGTTCATCTTTGACATGCACCACCAAAAATCAGATTAGTTTCCACGAACACGTTCATCCAGGATCTAAACTGATTGCATTTGGTGCATGTCACCCAATATGTGCTAAAAATAATATACGAGGGTATAGTAAATTTAAATAAACTAATGAAAACAATAAATAGCGAGTTTAAATAAAATAATAAATAATAATTAATACCAATAGGAAATAAAATCATAATTGTATTGTGATAAGATTGCGGATAATGTTAATGAATGAAACTATAAATAGAATGAGAAATAAATTCAAATAAATAAATAAATAAAATGAGAAATATATATCGAAAAAATGAATAGTAATTAACGAAGTAAAACCTTTTGTGGGGTCGCTGACACCCCGGACGTAGCGGGCCTTCGACGGCCCGAAGTCCACGGAGATGGCCGAGGACGCAGACAGCTGACAGTCGGGTATGCGGACGGGATCCCCCACGCCCAGGTTTTCGAAGCAGTCTGAGAAAGCATTCCGATTTCGTTATTAGTATTAATATTTCATTATTTTTGTGATCTGTCGAACGGCGTTCGTGCGAGAATAATTGCTAAGAAGGTGCAGCGGGGTTGATTCATATTTTCTCCGGTGGATGGCAGGACTGTCGAAGTTCGTTTCCTCCGGGGGTTTCCGCACCTTTAAACTTGACTCAATTTCGCTTCTTAAGCTTCGACTTGGCCGCCCACGAATCTCACTGGCGTTCGTGAAGCGACGACTGCAAAATTCGTCGAGAAGCCAGAGGAAGTTTAGATTTAAAAAAAATATATTTTTTTTTTTTCTGCGTTCCCGATCATTTTCCTCGCTTAGAGTCGACAGAAATGATGCATTTTCTCTCACGAAGATTCAATCAAGGAATTCCCTCACGGAACTGTGAGTCATAAAGAGAGAAAAACGAAACGTCCCAGCTGCCCCATCCTGCAAATCTCACAACAAAAAATCCCCCCGCATCCTCACCGTCCGCATCCACCCCAAACACCACCATGCCCGGCTCCACCAGCGCAACCCGGTTGGACGCCCCCGAAGGATACGTCCCCCACCCCGGGATCCCGAACCTCCTCACCATCCCCCCCGCCAGCTGGAACGGGATGACCGCGTGGCCCGGCCCCGCCCCGTAGCCTCGCTTGTTCTTCGGGTCCACTTGCAGGCGGATGCTCAGTCGGATCGTGCCCTCGTCCCAGACGATGTACGGCCACTGTCCCCACAAATGTATTTATATATATATTAAATTCCATTTAAAATGACTTTTTTGAATTGTGAATATCTCAGCTCCTGTTCGATGCACAGCCATGGGTTGCCAAGAAAGTGAGCCATGCCTCACTTTCACACTCTCAGTGGATCGAAAGTTACGATTTATCATTATTATTAAATTTACTATTGTTATTAATAAAAAAAGCATCTATTTTTTTTGCTGCTTTGTGGCCGCAGCGACGTAACAGAAATACTCATCAACCACTTTCATTGCAAAAAATTCAAAGTTCACAAACGATTCAACTTTTTTTTTTACCGCATCAATTTTCCCACGTCACAGGGGGGAAAAAAAAAAGACACACCAAAAGTTGGCACACATTTTCGCCCAGCAACTCCGCAAACAGCACATAAGTATTCGCGTCGAAACGCAAGCCGCGATTCGCGGGAAAAAGTCACTCGAGGGAATCCGACATGACTTTCGAAGCACTGAGAGTGTGAAAGTCAGCTTGGAAAACTTATTAAAATAAAACCAGTCGAATGACCGATTGCTCATGGGTCAACAAAGAGCTTTCACAACTCGTAAAAGTAAGTTTGAATGGAACACCCAGTACATTTATATATTATGATTAATATATAATTAATATCCTGATTATTAGTTATTAATAGATCGAACTACACATGATTAATTAGTATCATATTTATATATCTATAAGTATTAATTAGCAATTAATATCCGATTGATTAAATAATATCCTAATTTGGAAGAATCCGAAGAGAAAGAACAGACGAAGAGCGTGAGGGTGGCGTCGTCCCGGGACACGGCGGCCGGGACAGTCCCGTTATCCGCGACGACCTGGACGTAGTCGACGAACGGCGGCAGGTGGAACGCGAGGGTCACGTTCTCCGGCTCCCCCCGGGAGTCCCAGGTGTGGCCCAGCTCCACTTCCAGCTCCAATTCGTCGCTGTAAAATTCCTCAAGCTGCTACAAAAAAATCGCTAGAAAAAATTTTCAAAATAATAAATATGTATATATATATTTTTTGGCAACCCCATGGGAGTCGCCGTGCAACGTCGACCCTCTCGCATCCCCGGAGCGGAATCCGCAGACGTCTCGGGAATGCGGACGAAGACAGAGGGCATTTAAATTAGCCTCATTGAGAAATGCCTCATGAGGGAAATAAATGTTATTTGGCCTCGCTCCCATTCATCATCGCCTGGAATGACACCCCGATGAACGCCCATTGCCCTTTGGGCCTTTGGGCAACCGACTTCGCGTTCGCCAGCGACGTCTCGGTACTGCATAATATTTCCATTTAAATATTTCCATAAATATCGGGTCAGGCAAAATAAATATAAAAAAAAAACTTTTTTGCAAACGACATTTACGTGTCTTTTATACGTTCTAAAATCGTTGCCCAATTTTATCCAGCCGTTTTAGCACTGGAGCGAAAACTCGAATTCGAATTAATTGTGCAAAGAAAGGCATCGAAAGAAATGAATTTTGCAATAATTTTCCGCGTCGAGAAAGAAAGAAATTTCATTAATTCATCTGACAGACTAAAGCTAGCCGGAACAGTCCGAAACTCCATTCATGTGGAAGAAGTCATTGTTTCGGGGGTGCAAAATTCCCATTTGCAAATAGCCTTATTGCCAATTGACTCGTAAGGACGAGTGTGCTTAGCTGATTCTGAAGTGCAGAGGGAAAAAATAAAATCATTGAAGAATTGTGATTCCTAGTGAGAGGGGCAGGTCCAGGCGCGAGTGCAAAAATAATTTCATTGTTTTAAGGAAATTTTAAATAGATTATTTAAATTATTAAATAAAAAATAATTAAATAAATTTTTAAAGAGCGGCGCTGGTTTTTTTTTTCAGCCCCGCTTTTTCGTCTCAGAACGGACTCGACGAGACATATCTTCCTTTCTAATCCATCGAGTTTCGCAATTGAGAATCTTTTTCTATGGAAAACTCAGGCAAGCCCCCCCCCCCCCCCCCCCCCCCCCCATCCCGGAGTCCCCGGTCGCACTCACAATCTGAGGAAAGGGGTCTTCGCGGAGTCCCATTTGGGAATGGTCACATTGAGGAAAAACTTGGGATCCTCCTGTCCGTCCCGGGCGACCTTCACGCCTTGAGTCACCGACGTCGCCGCCTGACCGCTGTCCACCTGGAACTGGATCCGATCGACATTCGAAGCGGTGAATTAATTTTCGTTTCAAAAATGAGTTCAGCCAATCATCAGCATTTTTCCATTATTATTTTTTTAATACCGTGCAATAATATACAGGGTATGGAGGAAAAAAATACCCTTAAATATCTTCGCTCATACGGGAGCCTATTCCACAGAAGATTTACAACCTACAAGCTACAAGTTACAAGCGGAGTGGCTGTATTTACAAGTATTTGTATTTTCTGTTCCACAGAGTTCGCTATATTGTCCTATGCAATGAACACAGCAGGAAAATCCATCGTCTCCGCTAGACACAGGAGTGCAGAAAATACATTTACCAAGCATGAAAGTCTTGTAGAATTTAGAGTTACAAGTACAAGTCTTCAGACTCGTACTTATAAAACGTCTGGCTCTGTGGAACAGATCCCCATTTTCCCAAACTCAATTCGCTTGTAAATGGATGAACTTGTAGCTTGTAAATCTTCTGTGGAATGGGCCACAGGTGGTATTTTCGCGAGATGTTCATTTTGCATGTATGAGTGTGTTTCCGACCGAATCTCAAATTTTCATCCGAATTTCTCCGGCCGAACCAATTGTCGGCAATTATTAAAAATAATTTAGGCATTGAGAATGGACAAAAACTCCAATTAATGGGAGATGAATCGATGAGTAACGATCCGAGGAGTTTTCTCGAAGTGCATTCAGAAGTTCCCTTCGTTTTTTTTTTGAAGGAACCTGAAACGTTAAAATTGTCATGGAATGCTCATTACGTTCATTGGAATTGATGAATTTGGCAGGCATGTAAATGCTAAATCCTCAGCAAAAAATGAGGGAATAAATGAGGGAATGAATGAAATCATTCATTTAATTGTCGAAACTCACCCCGAAGGTGATGGGCAGGACCGTGTCCTGATGGTTCATGGGGTGGTCCGTGAGCCTGAACAGGACCTCGATCGTCACCACGTCGTCCTCGTCTTGGTGGTCCCCTCGGAAGAGGGTGAAGGCTAGTGGGAAAATAATGGAGGATAGAATATAATGGAGGATAAAATATAATGGCATTACAAAAAATGGGGAAATTGCGGGAATGAAAAATGAAAGCATGAACCCACAAAACATCGATTCAACGTTGACGAGGTGTGGATTGAACGCATCAATGTTGACGATTTATATACAATACCTCCACGTTACATCGACATTGATTCAGTGTGCCGAAGGGCGCTGTTTATGCACCATATTGATTCAGCGTGGATTCAATGCTACTGTATTCGCGGTGGAAGCATCCACATTAAATCATAAGTATCTGCATAAAATCAACACTGATTCATTGGATTCATTTGCAGTACAGATCCCTCGTGTGTTGTGCCTACCGAAGAAGATTTTCTGATGCGTACTCCATCAGGGTTTGTGGATAGTTGAGCCAATGATGTCGATGCTGATGTCAACATCGAGTCAACGCTCAATCCATGTTGAAAATAACAATATTGCGAGGACGTTGCCCAATCAACGCTACAGATGTCAGGAGAGACATCTGGCGAGAGACATTCGAAGAGACAAGGCTCCCGAAGCGAGACGGCGACGAACAGCCCCGCATGCACGCGACCGTCCCCAGCACTATCGGAACGGCACTTGACATTTCCTCCGCATTCGAAGGAGGAGGCAACCCGGCCCAGCAAAACCCAGGGGAAACTCGGCGCAGGGTCATGGAGAAAGTTTCAACGCGGTCAAAGGAAATCCTGCAGCGAGCGGGCGAATATGAGCCTTCTGTTACTGCGACCATAATGCTAATTATGCTAATTATAATAATGCTAATGCGCATTAGCACGAATTAAACGGCCTGTTGAGACCTGTCTCACTTCAAGATTGAACCATTGCTGATTTAACGTGGCCGTGCTACTTGGGAAGTGATAGAATAAAATGATGGCGTTAAAAAATATGACAAGGAAAAATGGATTTTAAAATATAACGGAACGAGTTCTGTTATGTTCTCTTTTATGGGGCCGTATTACGAAGTTTTCACGAATGTGGAATGTGAGAATATGAAAGCCATTTTTCAAAGGCTTTCCCTCTTCTCTAGAGGGCTCACAACGCGCTGGGCCTAAAGTTAGGCCTAACCGACCGTTAGGCCAAGGCCTGCCGTTTTTTTCCTCGAAAGAAACTCGATTCCCGACTTACAATTGGGCCTATGAGGATCGATCCGCAGTCTTCGAGGACGTGCGACGTTAGACCGATCTGTTTTCACGAGTTTCAGGGCGGACGTGCAACGTTAGGCCTACCTCCGTCTCGACTGAGGATGCCTCGAATGCCGTTTTTCGCGCCATTTCTTGCATACAGGGATGTCCGGATGGGGAAATCTCCATATCCCGCCGCGCCGATCGGTCGTTGCTAACCACCGTTTTATTCTCGGCTCATCTCGTGAACTCAGCAAGAAAATGTACCATACATTTAAATCAATAAATAAATATAAAAAACAGAAGATCCAGACACCTCTACGAAGGCTGAAGCAATCATAAATCTGGTATTACTTCGGCACGATATCCGGCAACCCTGGGTGACAGGGATGCTAAGCCTAAACGAATATAGCTAATTCCTTTTTTTTTTATCAAATGGGGAACTGATGCATCGCAAACAACAAAAAGGGCAAGGCTCCCTCCAAAATTTCTCGATTCAAAAGTCGGTAATTTCAGCATCATGCAAAAAAAAAGTACCTGGATTTCGCACGAATCCAAGAGGCAGCGTGAGGGAATCCACCTGCGTGGGGTTCACGTCCCGGTGGTAGACGAGGGAGGCGTTCAGGTCGCCCTGCCCCACGCACTGCAAGTTCCGGCCGCGGTACGCCATCCTATGGGTTTAAAGTTGGATTCGGATTAAGGTTTCGGATTCGGATTAAGGACTTAGGGATGGGTATTTGGGATTGAGCGCTAAAAGAAGATCTGATGATTGGCTAATGAAGGGGAAAATGGTAAACTGATGCATTCAAATAAATTAAATTTCATAAGACCTTACCATTCTTGGTATGAAATTGCGAATGAATATTTTCCCTCTTTTTTTGCGGATTTTTTTCAAGTTAAATTGCGAAGAGCAATCTAAAAATGCTGAGACGCGGGAAATAAGTATTTTGTTTCCTCATGAAATAATCTGAGTTCTCCGATCCGTTTTTAGTTTTTAATCGCTCAAATTTATTTTAAAATGTTGGCAAACATATTTCCTAAGCCTTCGCAAACCAAAAAAAAATTAAAAGTTTAACAATTAACAATTAAAAAACGCGATTAGAATCAAGGAACCTCGAAAGTACAAAAAAAAAATTCGGTGCAAAAATTTTTAGCGTGACATTTTTTGAGGGCGGGAAAAAAAAATAAACTTTGATGCAATGAAGAAGTGCATTTTAAACAAATTCAGGCGAAATTTGCAAAAAAAGGGCAAAATTCTTCCTAACTGCAGAATTAAATTCAAATATTCAAAGCTCGAGAGTGCTGAAAATTTGCAAGCTTCTCATCGGCCGTGAGTTTTTAAATATTATTTTAAATACTTGTTATTGTTATTTAATTAGAAAAATATTTCTTTATTTCTTACTGTTTATTTTTTTAAACACCATTTTAATGTTTATTTCCGTATAATCCGGTCTCACCTGACGGCGATGGGCTCGACGGCGACGCGCGTCGCGTCGTGCGCGCCCGCGACCGTCAAGGTCAGGTTGAAGACCTCGAGGGCGGGGAGGGAGAGGTTGAAGGGCATCCAGAAGGGCTCGCCGATCCCCGCCGCTGGGACGGCGCCCGGGGCCGTCAAGTTCGGCTGGGCCGTCAAGGTCGGCTGAGAGGGTCCAAGGTCATTTTTTTTATATTTAAGAAATCGATGCAAAATTTTTATCTCCCAAAATTTCTAAAATTAAAATTAAAATTAAAATAAGTAATTAAAATTAAAATTAAAATAAGTAATTAAAATTAAAATTAAAATAAGTAATTAAAATTAAAATTAAAATAAGCAATTAAAATTAAAATTAAAATAAGCAATTAAAATTAAAATTAAAATAAGCAATTAAATTAAAAATTAAAATTTCTAAAATTGTTGTACTTAAATCCATTCCATCGTTTCCTTCCGATTGAAAGTACCTTTTCCCACTTATCTGCCCCTTACGTAATCGCAAAACAACTCTTGACTGAATTTCTTTAATTTGTCTGACATTACGTCGTTTAATTTGTCTGATGACATTACGTCGTCTGATTTAATTTGTCTGATGAAATTCCGCTCACCGTGGCAGTCGTCGTCGAATCGGTCGCATTGCCCGCGCTGGCGTTCGCCGCGGCGCTCGCCACCACCAGCGTCAGCACCTGCGACGACACCCGCCCGCTCGCCGCCCCCTGGGCCAGGTCCAGGTCCGCCCTCACCCTCACCGCCCCCCCCGGCACCACCTCCCCCGGCACCACCGCCACCACCACCTGGATCGTGTTCGCCGCCCCGAGGCTCGGGAAGTGGCAGACCGTGCCCAGGTTCAGCTGCACGCCGTCTGGCTCCGTCAGGGTCGGTCTGCCCAATATATATTATATTATATTATATTATATTATATTATATTATATTATATTATATTATATTATGTTATATTATATTATATTATAAATTTTATTAGTTTCACTCGATTTACACTTTCTATAGGGTGTCTTACAAGTCTCTGCTTACCCAATATATTCACTGTAATTGCTCGTAATTATTCATTTACAGTGCATGTATTTTTACTCACGATTTTCCCATATACGTATATTTTATACGTGTATTCGATATATAAAAATATCTATACGAGGTGCGATGAACAAGTCGACACTTTTGGAATCGCGCCGCGTTTCCGAATTCGCACGCCCGGAATCTCCTCCATTCCGTCAAAAATTCATATAAAATTCATAAATATGTAAATATAAATAAATATAAATATAAATATATGTAAGAATTGAGGGAGGGGACGGACGCGGAATAGAAGACGTCGGAGACGGTGTTGGAGGCGTTGAGGCACGGGAAGGCGATCGGGACGGCGGAGACGACGGCCGAGCAGACGGCGACGCCGCCGGTGCCGTTCGCGACCGCGACCGTCAGGTTCGCCCTCGGCGTCCCGCCGGGCGGGAACGTCAAGTTGGCGTAGAGGAGCTTCATCGCGCCGGGCCGGATCGTCGGGTCGCCGGCTTCCGCCTCTGCGGGGGGGAAAAAGGACTTCGGTACTGGGACTCGCCGCGGGACGTTTAATGGTACCTTTCGTACCTTTAATGTTTTTTTGTACATTTTGTACCGTTAATAGATATCGTATCTTCTCCATCTTTAGTGCTCGTAAGTACGGGACAGAATTAACATTTAGCATAAATTGCTCTCAACTTTCTCATTTCTCATTTTACCTGAAAAACCGAGTAACTTACCCGGACTGCACTCGCCTTCCTTCATTGCTCTACTCTAAATCCCCGCCCAGCCCCTCCCCTCCCCGCCCCTCCCCGCCCCGCCCCTCCCCTCCCCGCCCCTCTCCGCTCGCTCCTCACCCAGCGTGACGTTGACTCCCATCGTGAGATTCGTCGGGGTGGGGAGGGTCGTCCCCCTCGCCACCGCCACGGCCATCCCGCCGTAGACTCTGTCCCCTGCCATGGACCCCAGCGTCACCGTGAGATTCGCGGCGGGGCCTCCTTCCTCCGGCATCGTCAGTCCCAGAGACGCCACCACCAGGTTCTCCGGCTCGTAGGGGCTCCACGCCATGGGGCGGCGGCCTTCCCGGAAAAAGGTGTCGTTACGGTACGGTGACGAGAGAGGTGACAGATGTTCCGATGAAATCGTCGGAACTGAAGCGAGTAGAGACGTTCAGATGATCGACTTAATTGCCGTAATGAATTGAGTATAATTCGCAGCGACGGGCGTCCGTCGAGAGGAACGAATGAAATATCAATATATCAAGGGTGATAAATAAAATATATAAATATGTGACCGACCGACGTTCGTGAGACCCTGAAAGTAGATCGTCGTCCCGTAATGGCCGACGCTGGCGTTCGCCGCGTCGTAGTCGTACGTCGCGACCGCGTTCATCTTCCAGTCGTAGTTCCGCGCGAACCGGTAGATGTCCTCGCCGGTGCGGAGGCAGGGGAGGCCGTGGCCGACGGCGGAGACGACGGCGCCGCACAGGCGGCCGTGGTAGGGCGGGGGGGCGCTCGCGACGGTGAGCTTCAGGTCCCACGTCGACTGGGGCGGGATCTGCAAGAATGGGGGAAATTTACAATATTGCGAAGTTTTGCACATTTGCATATTTGCACATTTACAGTTTTGCATATTTGCACATTTACAGTTTTGCATTTTTGCACATTCACAGTTTTGCTAATTTTCATTTTTGCAATTTCACTAAATTTGCAAACACCGCAAAAAAAGAACTGACTTGGATGCGAATCTCGACGACGATCGACTCCCCCGGGCCCGGGTTGGCCCGGCTCAGCGTGTACGTGAACACGGGCGTGATCACGCCCACGACGGGGATCTGCGCCACGCTCGGATTCGCGTAGAGCGAGATCGACCGCTGGTCCAACAGCGTCCCCGCCGACTGGAAACTCCCGGTGAAGGTGTAGTACCCATCTGCCGAAAATTTTTCGCCCCGTTACAGACAGTTACAGAATTAAGTTAAGCTATTAGGATGACCGATTAAGTTAAGCGCTTAGGTTACGCGATTAATATATTGAGCCGCACAATCATTCATTTCGCTCGCAAGCTTTCTACCTTTTCCGAGAACAAAAATATAAATATAAATAATAAAAATAAAAATAAAAACAAATATAAATATAA